CTAAGGGAGTCGTCTTGATCCCTCATGATTTTTAGTGGAGTAATTTGGCTAATGAAGTCGTATCGGTCCTCTGAACGCTGTTTAGACACGTGCACTCCTAGAACTTCTACTATGTATACCCTAATAATTTCCGTAGCTTCATAAATTTGTGTTGTCCACATGTGGAAACGTAAGTAGAGCTTCTAGCCGATTATTATGCGCAGACGGAGGGTGACATCGACCCGTTAAAACGTATGACACCTTATGTGTTTTCGAGCCAGTATCGGGCTCCCACCATCTTGGAAGGAAGTTTAGGTAAGATTATAATTTTGGCCGTTTTTGCTTTTTAATTATGCGACAACTATGGCACAGTTCCGTTTTTCCTATAATTTTCTAGTTAGTGATTTGAAACAGGTACTTTTCATTATAGGCTCTAGCTGGGGATATTGAAGAGGCCAAAGAGTCCCTTTTGCAGTATCATCAAGTCTGGAAGAAGTACGGATTTCTTCCAGAAATGTACGACATCAATTCGGGTAGACCGGTGTCAGGCAGATCTGCTTATCCCCTTCGACCAGGTGTGTATTCTTATTTGTACTTCTATTTGTAATTCTTACATGAATGGAAAAAGTAGTTAATTGTAGTATTTGTCGGACTAAATTAAATTTGTGGTGTATCAGGACGGTATTTATTTGTCCGATCTTGCACAAACGTCCATCATCAGAAGTCAAGAGTCAACCGCAAAGTAAACGGTGTTTGAAGAACATTAAGATCAATTGACGTTCATTTTTACAGTCCTTAAGGTAACTAAACGGGACTCTTTGTGTAACTGAGAGATCGGTACGTTAGTAGGTCGAACTCGTCTGAGTTCTCAGTACTGATCCATTTTACGTGAATCTATGCGTGATTCCATCTCTCATACAGTTTGGCTATTTATCACAAAACTTAAACCAGATCATTAGTAAGCTACATACCGATTGCTTATTGGAATCCTATCATTTTAAAAACTCCCTGGCGACATTTGCTCGTAATAGTTTCGGGTCAGTGTGCACACCAAAAACGCAGTTTCCTCGAAATGATTTCACCCCCCCTTGGCGCTACGGTTTTTCTCCAGTGTACTGGTTTCTCGTACCCTCAGTTGCCGGAATAGATTCACAGGCTTAAGTTTGTTAATATTTTCACATAAACATTTCGCAAATAAGCTGGTTGCTGAGATATTGGGCCCTTTCCTTCCGTTTTTGCAGAGTATTTGGATGACTACCGATATATACATTGACTTAAAATAAGTTTATCTGGTTACAGAAGATATTTATTCGAAACGTTTCTGGCTTATATTACTGATCTTTTATGGCACAGCACACAAAAACAATAATTTTTGTCTTGGAATATTAAATAGCATGGATTTCCTGTAACCTCTGTTTCACCCAAATCCTGTCTGTTTTTTTTTCAATATAAACGATTAAAAATATAGTCTTCTTTAGTAAATGGCTTTAGAGCCTCAAATCCGAATGCACACTTACCTACTTACTCGACACTTCATGAGTTAGGCAGTTTCCTGTACATATACACACATACATATATATGTTTATTATGCCAGTTTACAGACAATTTTAAAAAGTTGGTAAAGCACCGCTCGGGCGCCTTCCAAAACCTCGAAGACAGGAAAAAACCTAAAACAAACTCCCTT